AGTGAATTGGGGCAACAAAACCCAAGGCTGGTGGATCCACCATCAAGGAGTGAGACCCCCAGAGCAACCGAGACTCAAGTGGCTCCCTAGGGAGGCCCCCATAAGAGTGCTTGGAATCTCACTCACGGCAGAAGGTAGACCACCCACCAACCTGGAATGGATCATGGCCCCCCCCCTTGCTAAAATGGCGCTTTGGAAAGACAAGCACACTTCACTATGGGGCCGCGCCCTCGTAATAAACAATGTGGTTCTGGCCTCGTTGTGGTACAAATCAGCAATTTGGGCGCTGGATAAAAAAGCGTTGCGTCCCCTGCAACGTCAAGTGGCTGCCTTTTTGTGGAGAGGGGCCCACGATAGGCAAAATGTGATTAGCAGGGTAGTGGCGCTCAATAACCCAGCCAAAAATGAAGGGGGATCTAGGGATCATTGACCCGCTCACCCAGACAAAAGCACTGGCAATACAATGGGTCAAACGCCTCATTTTCAACGACGAATCCCCCTGACACGGGTTGGCCCTGGAACAAATCACCATACTAGCCCCACAGACAAAAGAAGGCATTGATCCCTTAACGTGGTTAGAAAATAGGGGCTGGGCTATTCCTAGAGGGTCAGGACAACGGGACCCCCATCACGTTACATCCAGGCAAGCAGCCAGGAACGACCTGGCGAATGATCCCTTCTGGACCAACCTCCTCAAAACTTGGAGAAGCCTCCCCTTCCCGGACAAAATACCGCCAAAACGATGGGAGGAAGTGATGCGACAACCTCTTTTTGGCAACCGGTGGATAACAGACACGAATGGCCAAACACTCCACTGCATGGAGTCGCGATGGCAGGGCTGGGTCAGGAAAGGGGTCATAAGGATACAGGACATTTGGGACTCAGAAACGAAGGATTGGATTGAGCCGAACCTTTTGCGGGAAAAGCTCCGGTACTGCCACCACCCCCAAGAAGCACTCGGAAAAATAACGGAAATGGTCCCTATAGATTGGGTGAGAACTCTGCGCAAGGGCCCTGCCTTACAAAAAGATGACTGGGTGGCATGCCCGACAAACATAGGGGGTGTGGGCAGGGTTAGCTCCATACATCCGGATGGTTCCGTAACGGTGGACCACTTCCACGTGAAGAAAGGAAACACCCTTTACAAAGACACTGACGAGACGTCATCGGTACATCCAAGGACATAACTTTTCCGTATTAGGGTGCTACAGGAGCATCGCAATGGATAGCTTTTAGGCCATCCTCCCCAATCCACCACCTACCCCTGGATCCGTTGGAGTGGTCATGGACATCCCAAAGACGGAGGGACAAGGACTGCACAAAAACACTCTACGGTCTAACACTAAAGTCAACATACAGGCTGCTCAGACCAAAAATAACCTTGCCGGCCACGTAAAAGACCGATGGGGTGCTCACCTAAACATCAGTCAGGCGGCATTAAGGCCAATTAAATGGTTCCAGCTGGCTAAGGAAAAACCGGCTAAGATCGCATCGCTTCAATGGCAGATAGAACACCGCTGCCTGCCTACCAATGACTGGCTAATTGATAGAACAACACTGGAACAACGGGGACTAGCCCTACCCTGGTGCAAATTATGCACGAACGCCTTCCCGACTCGAAAGTACCCGGAAACAATAGAGCATATATTCTTACAATGGCCGGGAGCGCTGTGGCTGTGGAGGTGGTGGGACAGACTTTGGAGTCATCTGGGCACGGACACACCTTGGCCCTGGGAGTGGAAGGCATTGCTTTGTGAGACCTGGCCCGGGGAACCGACGGAGCACCGCAAGGAATTCACGTCCAACTTGTTCATACTGGCAAGGCGAGCGATCCTCTGGGCACTGTGGAAACGGCGCTGCACATTTGAAATGGAAGGGGCGAGGCTAGAAGGCCCAGAGTTTACTGAGAGCGTGGTACTGCAGATCCAAACGGAAATAACAGCCAAATGGGAGACAATTAAATCTAAGATCCGCTCATTGCAAAACCAAAAAGACATTAAGCAGAAAATACAAGAATTCAGTTCAAACTGGCTGGGAGGCCCCAACGGAGGCAGAATTGGGATGGTAGAATGGAAGGGAGAGGCAAAGGAGTCAGGCGAGGGCCAACAGGGAACAGCGATAGCAAGGGATTACCGACTGCTGTTCAACGATTGGGCTAAGCTTGACGCAGAGATCCCCCTCAGACCTCCCGAGCAATTCCCCGACCCCTTCCCCCCCCCATTCAACTGCCTGGTAGGGATGCAGTGGTACGGAATGTAGAGGAGGGCACTCGGGCCTCCCAGCCATAATGGGGAGGAGCGTGGACCTTGGCTGATGTTGTTGGCTGCTATGCAGCGACAATATTGTCCATTAGACACCGCCATGTGGGGTTGTGGGGGGGTAGGGGGAGGTGCAGTGATTGGCCATTGCTCAGCGCTAGCACCGCCGATTTCCCCCATTGGCAATGCCTGCCCACCCCTCGTCACCGTGATGAGGGACTGGTACAGCCTTGCTCTCGCACCACAGCTGTGTTGCCAACCTACCCTGTGGGCTGGGAAGAGATCCGGGCTGGTTGGTGTTCCCCCGTACTACACATCGACTAGTGCGAGGATGAGATAGTGAGAGGATGGGATAGATGCGTACTACCAAGAAAGATGAAATAGATGAGAGAAGAATATAGTTTACCTTTATAGAAAAAGAACAAAAGAAAAAAAGTGAGACCTGGGCAAGACCCAGTGTCATTTTTTTATTTATTTTTTACAAGGATCAGATATGAAACACAAAAGTTTGCGAATACCCCTGAAAGCTCATGTGTATGGTAAAATACCCCCAAAAGATGTGGGTAGAGTGGAATACCCCTCTGAAATTTCAGAAATTTGTGAAATGCCCTTTGGGACTAGGAAGAGTTTCATGACCGGCCAGTCACCTGGGCATGATGCCCGGGATACCTGGGCATGGGAAAAAAAATTAAAAAAATAAACAATATTTTTTTTTTGGCGGTGGGGGTTTTCCACACTCTCGGAGAGGAGCCCAAATCCGGGCTCTTTTCTTTTTTAGAGTGTTGGCTTTGAAGGGGGGGCAAGGTGGGTATAAATTATTTTGAAAAGGGCTAAGGGGGTTTCAAGGGGGGTGCCATGGTGTGATTCGGTTGTTTTCTGTTTTATCTTCAGTTCCGTGAGGAATTCTGATGTGACCCTCAGCCCAAAGTTGTTTGTATAAATTGTATTGCAATTCTACAAACATACTTTTTTTCCAGATTTTTTATTTTTATTTTTTTTTGCGCTGGGGCTGCCCAGGACCCTGCCCGAGGGTCATGCCCGGCCAGCCGGGCGTGTCTCTGGGCACAACTTGGGTGCCCGGGCGCCCGGGAAAACGGCCTAGCTTTGGGATTTAAATCTTTGTTTTATACCCCTGTCCCAGCGGTTGTGCAAGTTTGCATCCTGACAGGTGTATCTTGTGATTGCCCACCAGTTTGTGCACGAACATTTAAACCACCACTACCTTTCAGGTTGGGAAAAGTAACCTATACCTCATTCTTCGGAGGCCAGCGGAGGCTGGGCACTACCGGACCACAAAGGCTGGCGGTGCCAGCCAAAAGAAAACAAAAATGCACACTGACGCTTCGGCCCCCACCTCAGCAAAAAGAGGCTCAGAGGTAGTGATGGCTTAAACCACCAGTACTTGGCCCATACATCGGCCGCGGGCCGTTGTCGTTAACGGCCCGCAACTTCCGGGCTTCGGGGTACCAGACCTCAATGGCTGGAAGCGCCAGCCAAAACAAAGTCGAAACGGCGCCGTGGCGGTTTGGGAAAACTTGGTGTGCAGGGGGTCGGCCGACGGCCGGCTCGGCATCGATAGCTGGGCCAAGTACTGGTGGTTTAAGGCAAACCCCTGACAGGCGTAGATTGGAAAGATTAAAATCCAAAAGGACATTTCACAAACTTTTGAAATTCCAGAGGGGTAGTCGGCTCTACCCACATCTTTTAGGGGTATTTCAGCATATGCATGGACTGTCAGGGGTATTTTACAAATTTCCCCAGAATGAAACTGATGAGAACAGATACTACACTTGATCTAAGCCAAAAGGCCAAGAAAGGTATTGTAGACTTTGTAGTGGCATTTCTCCTGAGTTCTGTGGTTTTGATTTCACTGCTTGAAGCATGTGCACACCTCCAGAACTTGTCCGGTTTCACTTGGGATGAGGTTAATGGCTTGTGCTCCACTGACTTATATTCATGATTTCCCCGGAGGAAACCTGCTTCACAGCGAACAACATTTCCACCCTCCCTCCCTGAAGTGCTGGGTGTGGAATGTGGAAGAGATGCCAACGACTGCTTGAGCGCAATCTGGGTCTTTTCCTGTGCTTTTCCAAATAGGCAGCATCTCTCTCTCTCTCTCTCTCTCTCTCTCTCTCTCTCTCTCTCTCTCTCTCTCTCTCTCTCTCTCTCTCTCCAGGCCGCCCACCCTTTCAGTGATGACGGCTTCCTGCTTCCATTGAAAATGGTGGTGATGGCGGCTGATGCAGTTGTGCACGGGCAATATTGGAAAAGGAAGCGTCAAACAAGCATGTGCGAAATTGTGTTAATTTTGGGCTTTCTACAGATGTATGATAGGAGACTTCCCATCAATACAAGCAGGAAAACGGTGAGGTTATAATTCTCAAGGGTTGACAAATGCTCCCATACCGGCTACTATGGCGCAGAGGCTGGCAGGTCTGCCAGACACACAACGTGCGTGAATAATGTTCAATAATCTCCTTTCCGTTAAAACTTGAAATCACCGCTGCCTCTTCGAAAGTAGGTAGGCCAATTCCTGCAGACAGGGTAAAAACTACTAAAAAGTTAAAAAAACTATGGTTGTCAGGTTGTCGATCGGACATACTAACTCAAAAGGGGTAGGCCTCCTGATAACCAGGGTGGTGGTAAAAGGGAATCGTGGTTAAAGCTTCTTCGATTGTGGTGTGGCTCTTGTTTGTCAATGTGCGTTTTTGAAACTTGTACTGGAGCCAGGCATGTGAGGAAGTCGGATTCTTCTATTTAGTCAATCATGGCGTGGAGAAGAAACTGGTTGATGATTTGTTTGACCATACACGGCGGTTTTTCAGCTTGCCGCTCGACGAGAAAAACAAGGTGCTTCAAGATGAGAACAACAGAGGTTATTCACCCCTGGAGGAAGAGACGCTAGATCCCGCAAAGCAGAGCAAGGGTGGGGAACCCTTTTCATATCCTGAAACTGTACGGATGATCTGCCAAAAAAAAAAGAAGGAAGAAAAAAGGATGATCTGTCAATTAGCATGTGGGGAAGCCCCTGAGGGAGGCTGGTTTGCTGAAGAAGTCTTTCGAGAGTTTGGCACCAGAGGATTGGGTACATGTTTGCGCAAGGGATTTGATGCTCGAGCGCACACATTTGCAACGCACACGACACACACACACAGACACACACAAGACAGCCTGTGACGTTCATCTTTCCTCTGTTCTGTTCTTTGCCACTCCACTTCATGCCTTTACCCCTCTTCTCACTCCCCCGTTCCTACACAACTCCACCCCCTACCCATTTCCTTCCCCCCTCCTCTTGTGTACTAGTAAATGCATACGAATGAGCATCATTAAGAGAACAGGCAGTATATAAGCTGACGATCTGAAGAAAAATGAGCAGGTGTATTTTCCTCCCCCTTTACTCTGCCTCCTTTCATAACGTGCAAGTGGGCCGTTATGGCACACGCGGATGTGAGCAGCTGGCGCTCAACCACGGTCAACGTGGCCAGCCTTGTACATGAGAGGCACAGTCAGAAGGGAGCTGCAAGAACGAATAAAAGGGGTACCCCAACGAAAGCCAAAGTAAACACAGTTAACAAAGGGATTTAAATTTTAAAATGATGTATTGTGCTCCATGTTGCTTGCTATAGAGGTAAAAACTGTTTCATTGTTGGATGTGTCTGAAATCGTTGTCTGCAATCGGACTAAAGTTGCTTTGATTTTGGATCTACTCATCTGGGTGTGGAATAGGGGCTGTTGTGGTGAAAATCCAAAACACACTTATGCACACATTTAAGTACACACATGCAAATTCCACCTGTCACAACACCATGACAGTCCGTCCTCTACCAATTAGCCATACATCAGAGTCTGTGGCTGGCATCCTTGCTGGCCACTCGCTCCGGAGTCATCACTGTGGTTATTGGCTCACTGATACCCTGGCCTATCTCTATTAAAGCACTCAAAGCACGTAAAGCTCGTCATCCTATCCTTGGGATCACCCAACCAACCGTCCTCTCTACCTTCCCGATACACCGTTGCACTCTTGACATGCCTCGCTTAACCTGCCACATCAGATTTTGCATCAGCTGATCACAGTGAACAGCCTTGCTTTGGATTCAAGGCTTTCAAGCCCATCATCACCTTTCCTCAGCGAACAGGCTATGTCCGTAGCACAAGTACAAGCCCGAGAAACTCTCTCCTCGCTGCCGCTTTGTCTTGACCCAGCTGATGTTTTGTTAACCTGCGATGATGTGATCCTTTTTTTTTGTGTGTGTGTGTGTATGTGTGTCACAATAGTTGTGATGGCATGATCCACACAAGCCTTTGGTTCCTACCTTTGATCCCAGTCTCCCGTGTACTCCCGTGTACGCCCGTGTACTCATCCACACCACCCTGAGACGGTCTATGATTGCAGTGCCTATATCTCTGCAATTGCCACATGTCTGTGTTCCTAGCATGAGAAAGCTGACATGTTGCGCATGATATCTTTCCGCGCTGTGCCATGCGGAATAGTGACAGTAACTGCTAGGATTCAATGCGGTGTGTCCTTCGGGACATCCGTTAAAGGGATTGGAATGGCCACATGTCTGTGTTCCTAGCATGAGAAAGCCATGTTGCCCGACGTGATCTCACTTCGCGCTGTGCCGTGCGGAATAGTGGCGGTAACTGCTAGAATTCGATGCGGTGTGTCCATTGGGACAGCCGTTAGAAGGATTGGAATGATACAGAGAAGATTACTTAGCATGGCCCTGCGCTTTCAAGGACGAGATGCATGAATCTGGAAATGGGCCAATTTGGGAAAAAAAAGAAAAAAAGAAAAAGGGATTGTATGTGGTGCTTCGACACGGACACCTGAAATGAAATGATCATGCCCGGTCTGTGGGGTGGCCACTCACCATAGGGAATACGGGCCCCTACATTCACGTTGCTGTGCAACAGAACCCGTGAGTCGCCACTGTCTGTTATGCCAGTCTCCGGCAGTCTGGTGTGCCTTCCCTTACTCTGCCCCTTTCTCTCCCCCTTCCTCCTGAATTTATCCTCTTCCTTTTCCTTTCCCCCTCCTGTTCCCTGTGCAGAACTGCTAAATACAAATGAGCATCACTGTGCGAACATACAAGATAGAAGGTGCAAGTGTGCTGAAAGGAAAAACGCTGTGCAGGTGTCCAGCACTCTGCTACACGTATGCGGGCAGCCTTGCACCAGTCAAATCACAGCAATTAAAACGCCTTTTCATTAAAACACCAGAAAAAATGGCAGAAACATTTTAAAATATCACCTGATAAGACTGTCCCAATTACGGTAGTGGTGCATCCTGGAAATGCTGTGCTGATTGTTTGTGTGTGTGTGTGTGTGTGTGTGTGTGTGTGTGTGAGAGAGAGAGAGAGAGAGAGAGAGAGAGAGAGAGAGAGAGAGAGAGAGAGAGAGAGAGAGAGAGAGAGAGAGAGAGAGGGTAGCAACACGGGGCGAGCGAAAGAGAAAGTGGTTTTGTGAAAGGAGTACTGATGGTCAGAGATGATTGACTTTTCACAAGGTTTAAGTATCAGAGAGTGGATGGTAAAAGTTGTTGAATCCTTTGTTTTGTTTCTCTGTTCTGCCATTACGAATACAGGTGATACCAAGGAAGGGTACTACATAGGCAGGGAGGTTTCAAAGGATGATCCGGAGAGCTCCAAGGCATTCTGCGGACCTAATCAATGGCCATCTGAAGGTATTTTTCTTGCTGATCACCACGGAAATGATCTCCTGTTTTTTCCGTGATTCCTCCCCTGGCATTAGGTATCCTATTGGTTGTGTCAGTATCCAGCCTTATCTCTACCTGCCCCTATTCTTAGGTTTGTTACGAATGACTGATGGAACGAGCACATGGTACCGGAAGCCAACTGCAATTCCAGATTTCATAAATGGTACGTGGCAACGTGCATATTTCACACAATTATCATGTGTATGAAGTAAATGCAAGCAACAGAGTGACAATGGCTGAGAGAACCATCTGAGCAGGAGGCAGAAGGATGATCGCAATGTTCGTATCACAGGCCATGTACTTGATGCGTTCACTGTGATAAGCAAAGCCTCACGCATTGAGTACTATTTCCCATTTGTGTAAAAAAAAGAAAGATGCAAGCAACAGAGATTCCCTTCGAAGTTCAGCATTTCAACTTCAACTGGGTGAGGACACTGAGGAGAACTGTGCACTGGCTGAGCATCTTGTCTGCTTCGGTAGGTGCGAACAGCACTCTTCTATGAACCAATCACCGCAGTTCGCTTGGGTGCAGCATTTTGTCTCTATTTCATTCTGGTTGACGAACATGTGTTGCCTGTGTGGTGATGTACTCTGGGGAACCATGCACGCTACGCGGTGAAACATGTGTGAGTAAACCATGGTTTCACCAGACGCGGACCTAGATACCATCTAGACGGACCCAGACAGTAGGGTCCAGACGCTGTCGAGACATCTGGATTTCATCTTTACGGGGGAGCTGACCCTTGTTTTTTTTGCTTTTTTAACTTTTTTTTTTTTTTGGAGGTCACCCTTTGGGTGATAAAGACTACTCAAGAGCGAATGACAAAAAAATCTCGTTCCGAACATTTTCGTTCAGTATGGACTCAATTTGGAATGCTCTGCTTTCCTAAACTGCTCAGTATGCTCTTCTGAGTCCTGGATGCTCTACTTAATACTTTCCTTCTTTTTTGTTTCCTCTTAAAAACAAAGAAATGGCATTTAATTGCCCGGTACTGGGCCCGACATCCCTCACATCTTATGCTGTGGCCAACGGGATCCCATGAGAGCAGAACCATCCTTGTGTGGTCGTTCAGGAAAACGGTAAGGAAGACCTCTCCGGCTCAGGACTCGGCTCACGCATTGAGCTTTTGTGGGTGTGGAAACTGTGGAAAAGTGCAGAGAAGAGCCCAGAACAATCGGTGAAATTGTGTGAGTGGGATTATAGAGCTACCTAGCCTCCAACGGTGAAATGTGGCATAAGGACTAATATTTATTTCAAACTCGGCTCTCAAAGGAACAGAAGGAAATTTAGAGAAGAATGATATGTTCGGTTGCTGATGCCCCGTGAAGGTTATGCTGGTTCAAAAGAAAAGGGCTTTGGTTGTTTGAACTCGTTTCCTTTTTTTGTTTTGTGTTTGTCCCCCCC